GGCTGTGTCACGTGACTGATTGGGGTTCATGTCGCGCGTGCACACGTGCGTTCCGTGGCTCGACATACATAGCCAGCCATTACTAGCCCACATACAAATACCAGATCAGTGGAGCACTCGCTAATTCGGATTACACTAGTTAAATTTGGACCTGATAAATTAAATTTTTTAAAAGTAAATTCCATAATTGATCTTTTATAACATGGGTTTTCATATTTAGTTCTCTATTATTAAATATTACTCATGTAGTCCTTTTTTTAAGGGTGCATTTTCACAAATGATCCTTATTTTGATCTTCTGCCATGTTGACATTAATTTAAAGGCTAAAAATATAATTTGACATCAACATTATGTCTATTGACGTGTTTTGATATTGGTTAAACGGATAACATAAAAATAATGACTATGATTGTGGGCTAAGATTCCGACGAAAAACCACAAATGTAGATGACTATAATTGTACTAGAAAGCGACTGTAATTCACAAACGACGGAAACAGAATAGCCTTTGGAATTGTGTATGACAGAAAAGATATATTATCATTACAAAATTATACTTTTAGCTCTCAAATTAACACCAAGATGATAGAAGATCAAAAAAGGACTACTTGTGGAAAGATACGCATAAAAGAAGGACCACTGGGGTAATATTTGATAATAGAGGACTAAATAGGGAAACCCCATGTTATAAAAGACCAATTATGAAATTTATTCACTTTTTAAAGATCTAATCTGATCTGATTTTAATAAGAATAAATAATAAGTTGAATAGAAATCTCATTAAATAATATTAATACATAGAGAAAAGTACTAAAATATAGAACTTTCATGTTTTTATTCTCGAAATAGGACTTCGCGTTGTGCTAATGTGACAATGTACAAGTGCACATTACTATACTTTTTGGTAATGTACATGAGCATGTTTGGTAATGTAAATGTATTTTAACTCCTATTTCGAGAATAAAAATATAAAAGTCTAGCCTTATTTTAATATATTTTCAACGTTATATTCCTTTGTATTTTTGTCTAAGATGAATGAAACGCTGCCTCACTTCGGTCACTATTGGGTGATTCCTTTCATCTCTCATTTTATTTTACTTCTTCACTCTACCAATTGATATATATGACGTCAATTGTATGCATTACAAAGAAAAATCTTGTGATTTTAAAATTTATTTTATTTAAAAATTAATATAGAAATAAAATGTAATATTCATATTTAAAAATTATGCGAGGAAAACAAAATGTCACAATCATAATTTATTTCATCGAATATGCAATGAAAAAACACAATTAAACAAAAGTTATCATGAATTTCAAATAATCTAGAGTGACATTCATTGTTGGGCGAAGAATATTTTCTCGAACTAAAAGTAAATACATTAATCAAACATTCCAAGTAATTAATAAGTTCCTTCGTATGACTTTCACTTTGTAGTATGAAAAATATTCTTACTATTATTTCAGTAGCGTTTACATTTTATTTTTCAACAATTTTCTCAAAGAATCCCTAAAACCAAATCATAAAATTCATTTCTGTAGAGAGGGAAATATGTCTGTGATTATTAAAGGTAAAAAGAGAGGGAGGGAGAGGTGTGTTGGGGAAGGAATTAATTAGACAACAATAATTAAAGAGAATAATTTAAAGAGATGGAGCAACCAAACCCAACATATATATATTATATATATATATATATATATATATATATATATATATATATATATATATATATATATATATATATATATATATATATATATATATATATATATAAAGCGGCGATCGGATCGGAGCAGATAGAATGATTCATAGATAGTGTTTCTTCTTTATTTTTCTTTTTTGTTTCTATTCTTCTTTTATTTTATTTTTTAAAATTCAAATTTGTTTTTTTGGCGATCCCAATGCAAAAGAAAAAGGAGAGGTTAAGATCAATAAATAACGTAATGTGGACAGCTTTTGTTCCCCCCTTTGGAAAATAAAGAAAGAAAGCTTAGAATGGTAATATGAAAAGAACAGTTGTGAGAGGTTGTGCAAGCTAAGCTAAGCTGCCAATATATACTCCCTTAGAGCATCTCCAACCATCTTGCTTTGGCTTGCTAAAAGCCATAATATAGCAAGTCAACTCATTTTTCTCTTCTCCAATGGGTGTTTTAAACTTTAGCAAGCTTGGCAAAAAATAACTTTGATTTGCTAAATATAACAAGCTCTTCAAATAATAAGAAGCCAAGAGTTGTAGAATGGATTAACTAGTCATGGTTGGAAAATGAGTCAAAATATCACTTGCTATATCACTATTCACTTGTTAAAATATAAAAATAGCAAGCAAATATAGTAAACAAGGTTGGAGATGCTCTTAGTCCCTAAATATTTGTTACACTTGTATTCCCGAGATAAAATATTAAGTTTTTCTAATTTATTTTATTTACATATTGGTATAGGAATTAAATAAAAAATAAAATTACATATCAAAAAACTACATGAAAAGTTTTTCGAAATAACAGGTGTCAAGAGTATTTTATTTTATCAAATAACCAATGAAAACGTAAAAATAAATAAGAGTTCCCGCAACTGCTAAAAAAGTAAATGTGGCAAATATTTTAGGACGGAGGAAATATATAATGTCCAATTTTTTTTGCTTTTCTTTTCTTTTCTTGATTTCTTGATGTGGAAAATTTTTTACTACTCAAAGACAAATTAAAGTGTGTTATAAGTGCATGGTACTGACATGACATGCACAGTGAAAGACAAGAAATATTGAAATAATACTCCCTCTTCTTTTTCTTCCTTTTTTATTACGGGAAAATTATCTCAAATAATCCCATCTTTTCGCGTTCTTTCAAAAATAATCACACTTTTCCCTGTCATCGAAAATAATCCCACCTTTTCGCATGTGTGCGAGTTTTGAGTCGCCGTTAAAAAACTAACGGTCACTTAACGGAAGTTTTTGAAAATGCTTGTTTTTTGCAAATAAATAAAAGGTGGGATTATTTTAGAAAAATTTACTTTTTACTTTTTTAGTTTTGAATTTAAAATTAATATTTTTAAAAATATAATAATACACTCTTGTTAGAGATTTGTCTAACGATTAACAAATTTTGTTAATTGTTTTGGGAAAATATAGTATTGAATTATCAAAAATAATTCAGAGTATCGATCAAGAAAAAAATTACAATAAAAAAAATTGTAGTGATTTATAAAATTTATGGGTTCCGTTTCGGAGAAAAAAATAGTGTCATTTTCACAACTTTTGAATTACTATTTTGGGGAAAAATTTGTATTGAATTATTAAAAAAATCACAAATTAGGTAGTTCCATTTTAGAAAGAAAATTTTATTGCAACATAAGATTATTAATAAATATTTCAGAGTGTTCATGGAAAATTGCAATACATCAGAAAATGTAGTGAGTTATAAAAATAGAAGTTCTATTTTAGAGAAAAAAATTGTTGTGTTATTTTCACAACTATTGTAATGTTGTTTCACAAAAAATATTTATATAGAACTATCGAAAAATATTCATAAGTTTTGGTATTTTTTCCAAAAAAATAAAATAAAAATACATTTAAAGAAATTAAAAAACGAAAAAGGGAGAATTTACCTAAAATAATCCCACCTTTCATTTATTTGCGAAAACGGGCATTTTTCAAAATTTCCGTTAAGTGACCGTTAGTTTTTTAACGGCGACCCAAAACTCGCACATATGCGGAAATGTGGTATTATTTCTGGTGAGAGTGAAAAGTAGTATTATTTTTGAAAGAGCACTAAAAGTTGGGATTATTTGAGATAATTTTTCCTTTTTATTACGGAGTATAAATATGTCCTATATTAATTATTCTATTTTCTTAGTTAAAAACAAAGAGTTTGTAGTTCACATTATTTCATCATTTAAACAAATTTCAAACACAAGTTTTCTATTTTCAATATTTTCTTAAATTTTGTAAAATTAAATTAGGATGATTAATTCATGACAAAAGGAATATATTACAATACCTCTTTATCTTTTTTTTGTTGATAAATTAAGTTTCAGACTCTATCCTAAGAATTTTATAGATACGTAACATGTACACTTATGTGCACAAAGAGTCACAATTTCACTATTTCCTATATTACCATCCAAGTTTTGACACTCTCACTTAAAAAGAAATACCCGTAACTGATCTGACCAAAGAGCTAGTCTAGGAGATTAGTATTTTATTCATAGCATGTTTGAAAACTAGAATTTGGAATTAAAATTTGGATTTTGTTCAAATCTTATGTATGGAAAATCTTAAAATTTTAAATTTTGATTTGAGGTAAATTTCTCTCAACCATCACAAAGCTCATTTACAAATCCATGTCTCTCTCTCCACTAGTCATTTAGAAGTTAGCAATTCAAATTTTAGAATTGAAATGAAATGTTAATTTTCAAACATTACCCAATGAAAAACCTTCCATTTCTCCTCCCCGATGACTCGAATTCAAGAACTCCCGAAACAATAAGATACTCCGTAGTACAGAGTATATATTACACATGCAGGAACGAATGCTTTACACATAATATCTTGGTAACATTTATCACTTGAATACTAAATGGATTCATCGATCACCCGAAACTCTAAACATTGTTGAACAACGAATGAGTGAAAATTTCTTAAGTTTCTTTCGTAGTTTTAATTTAGGCGGCACGGTCCAATATTTCCGAGTTAGCAATTAGAAGAACAGATTTCCAATCATAAAAATGAGATTCGACCCTCATGTCTCACTTCACTCCCGGTGCTGCCACATAGCACAACAACGAAGTAGGTTTATACTTTTGTGCTATGTTGCAGCATTTGAATGACGTGACGTGAGGGTCGAATTGCATTTTTAGGGCAGAGGATCCCTTGCCAAGGGTCTTAGTGGTGTCTCTATTTGTCTTCTTGTCTACCACTGCCCTAACATCTCATCCACTCAGGTCACCATCTTTAATTTCTTGGGATCTTAAAGAGGGAAAAGGAGTGGAAGACAAGATTAATTGGTAATCCAAACAAAACGAATATATTGCACAGGGGCCACAAAAATTTGGCACATTTTTTGGTGAACACAAAAGGAAGGGTAGCCCAGTGGACAAAGCATACCAACCTCAGTTAAGGTGTCCCACTATAAGGGCATGATTTAATGTAGGCAGGCAAACCTTACAAAATACTCACATTGCAGTAAAAAAACAAGAAGACATTTTACTATGCTTAGAGGGGTCTTTATGTCTTTAATGGCGCCTTCTTTTCTCGGTCGCATATACGAGCTGGAGCATTGGAATGAGATTTGAAACGGCCTCTACCTTCGCCTTCCTTGTCCTACAAAACACTCAAATCAATTGCAGATGATAATGAACGGGGAAACTTTTTTTTGTGTATGGAAGAAATTGCACGTGAGAATGAAGAGAGTACCTTCTTCTTAACAATCTGTACGACATCCTCATCTTGGAGAACGTGACTAAGGCCACAGTGTTGGGGGTAGTGTCTTGCACTGACACCCCAGACCAACACATACTTGACATCCTTCACAAGACTCCTATGGATATGGTTACAAAAATCTTCAACGGTGCAGCCACCTCTGTCCTAAAAGTATTCGTCATTCATTCATATCATCAAAGAAAAAGCAGAATATACCATACCAAGAAAGAAGAATAGAAGCAAAAGAATATAGTTTTGATTCGCAGACATGCTAGTGTCAGTTTGGTAATAGCTTCAGCAAGCATTAGCGTTTTGAAAAAAGCTTACCTAACGGCAAGATTCGGTTTTAGCATTTTCAAAGTTAAATGTAGTTCGGTACCATTAAAAAATAATCCAAAACGTTGATGCTAATCGAAAAAGCTATTCCCAATCGAGGCCTTAATAAACCAACATTCTACAATAAATGAGAGAACACCAATATGGAAATGGTAAAATGGTGACTGATAAAAAAACAAAAAATAACATACAGTTGAAAGAACAACAGGATCAGTGAAATCCGGTTGCTGGCCTTGTGGTTTTGTATAGACTCTCACAAGACCCATCTCTTCCCACATTCTCGCAAGCAATCTATCCAAGTTTAGCTGTGTTCGCAACAAGAAACCACACTGTTAGGCTACGTTTGGAACCTGAATAATGGTATGGAAAGGGGGATACTTTCCCAAGGATTTTTTTTAATATTTGGGTTTTACCTTGGAAAAATTCAAGTCTAATTAGAACTTAATAAGATCTTATGAGTATCTTACACATTAGAATTCTTGGTGTTTATTATTATAGAAACGAAGGATGAAAGTTGATACCTTCATGTTGCAGCTAATGACAATAGAGTTTGGCTGGCGGGACAATCTGTCCACATCATCAATACCAACAACATCAATCTTATTGTAGACGTAAACACACTTCATGTATTTACGGTTTCCCTCAATGACATCAATAAGGTCATCCACTGTGGCATCTTCACGAATTAAGACCTAACCAAAAAAATATCAAATGCAGGTAAAATAAGAATAAAGTTCCTGAAATTGACCACAGATTTAATTAGTTATAGGCTAAGCATGGCTGCAAAGACTCACAATACAACCATTACCCTCCTCTCTCTCCTAAACTCATGTTGCTAAAGTAAGAATACCTCAGCATTATGGATCTTATATTCATGAAGAATTTGATAGCAGAGCTTCTCGTCTATGTGAGTTAAAGGCACTGTGCTGTTGAATGAAATTCCACCGGTTTTTTTCTTTTTGAAGTATATCTGTCACAATCAAAAGCTAATGTAAGAGCCAGTTTGGTAAGTAACTAAGTATACCATCAAAAGCCAATGTAAGAGCCAGTTTGGTAAGTATGAATTGGACTCAAATTGAGGCTGACATTGACAAAGTTGTTGGATGACTGAATTATTAGGAATATCTACACAAAGGTTCTAGTGATTAAGTATTAAACAGGAAAAGGCTAAACTAATAATTTCAGAAATTTCAGCCAAAAAGTAATGTGAAATTAGCAGAAAGCACACTAACTAGATATTTCCATCATCTAGGTGACATAACTCATATGACATCGCCTAATTCTCAAAGTTGTATTTAACAATTTCAGCATTTTCTAGTTGTATGTAATGAGATAAAAGAGTAAATTCCATAATTAGTCCTTTATAACAGGGGGGTTTCCATATTTAGTCCTCCATTATCAAATATTACCCCCGTAGTCCTTTTTTTAAGGGTGCCTTTCCCACAAATGGTACTTTTTGATCTTCTGCCATGTTGGTATTAATTTAAAGGCTAAAAGTATAATTTGACATCAACATTATGTCTAGTGACGTGTTCTGATATTGGTTAAGCGGATAACACAAAAATAATGACTATGATTGTGGGCTAGGATTCCGACGAAAGGCCACATTTGTAGAGTATGGTTATAGTAGAAAGCTACTGTAATTCACAAACGATGGAAACGAAACAGCCTTTGGAATTCTGTATGACAAAAAAGATATATTATCAATGCCAAATTGCACTTTTAGCCCTCAAATTAACACCAACATGATAGAAGATCAAAAAAAGGACTATTTGTGGAAAGATACCCATAAAAAAAAGACCACTGGGTTAATATTTGATAATAGAGGTCTAAATAGGAAAACCCCCCATGTTATAAGGGACCAATTATGGAATTTACTCGAGATAAAATTATAACCAACATGAAAAAAGAACTGCCAACCTTTTTCTTCCCTTTCCTAAACTATGAGGCTCACACATTACCAACAATAATAGGAAAAGACTCAAAACATACAGACTCTATGAGGTGCAGAAAAAGAAAACATTGTGACGTACTTTTTATATTAAAACAAAATACAACTAACGAATAAAACCCAGTGGTCCAGTGCTGAAAGGTGGGATCTTAGAAGTGATAGCTTGTGAACAAAGGAGAGTATGGGAAGAGAAGGAGAGATCATCATCATCATCCGCATCTTAATGGCTTAATTCCAACTAGCCGGGGTGATGGCATTAAATTTTTAGTTCCAATTAATTGTATAAAATTAACTAACCCAATAAACTCCATGGCAATGGTTTGCATAGAAAATATCATAAAACATTGAAAAGTTCAGATATTTGCTCATGTCATGCCCATTACACAACAAATAATGCAAGACCAATCTACAGATCATGAAAGATGACACACAGGAGGGGGAGAATATATGATTATCAATCCAGTTCACAACATAGGTCAAAGGCACGAATCTCTGTAGCCTTTACTCAATGAGAGGTCAAAGGCTCCACAGAAAATTGTGAATGGAATATAATTTCACAAAAGGGGAAAGAAATTACCTGAGGCGGTCTCTTATTTAAACGAAGACCCACAGCCTCCAATTCTTTTGTTAAGATTTGCCGATGCCCTTCACTCTGAAGATCTTTTGGTTGGTAACGAAAATAGAGAAAGTATAACAGCAGAGACTATAAATTTGAAAACACGGTGATTAATAGTTTAATACTTACTTTTGAAGCATCCAGAACCATCAACACTAGGTCTGATGATTTTGATACGGCAATTACCTTTCACAAATATCAATATTCACTCAGATTTCAATCATAACCATAGGGACAAAAAATACCAGAGAAGAAGCTCTATATGTTCTCCATTAGGGAGTATGTTCCTTGAGAAACATAAACACCCTTACCTGTCTACCACGCCCCTTCCCTTCAGATGCACCTTCGATAATCCCAGGAAGATCAAGCAATTGGATTTTAGTGTCATTATAGTTGATTATGCCTGGGATGCAAGTAAGAGTAGTGAACTCATATGATGCAGCCTCAGAATGTGTTCCTGTCAGCATCGTCAGCAGTGTTGACTTTCCCACACTGTCAGAAGGAAAAAAACAGTATAATTGTTGAAATTTATGTATATTGGTAAACATTAAAAAACTACAGACTATGTCAATATGAGTTCCTAAAGCATGACGCTCAAAATTATTTTCGTCTAAGAGACCAGTCATTAATTTAACCCATTCAGAGGCACAAACTTTTAGTCATAAGACAACAACAACAACCCAGTAGAGTCCCAACAAACTTTTAGTCATAAGGTTTGCAAAAAACTGTTCATTACATATCTGCGTGGCAGGTAAAGAGGCCATATCATTTGATAAATCCACTGGAGCAAGAATGCATATGAACACTATTTTCCTTTGAGCTTCTCAAACATTAAACACTACCTTAGAGTATCAAAATGCCAGTATCAGAATAAAATGCCAGACCTTGGAAATCCTATTAGTGCAACACGTCCATGGCCAAATTTTGTGACTTCAAAACCCTCTCCAGCTCCACTAGAACCCTATCCACCATTGACAACGATGGCATGATGAAAAGACTAGAAAAATATATAACATAAAGAAAAAAGTTACTTTAGCTCCTTAATCGGTACACTTTTTGCAATTTAATCCTTCTCAGTTAAATTTGTGAAATCTAGTCCTTCAAATGATTGCCCAGCACACAATTTAGTCCCTAGAGTGGCAAAGAAGCAAGAGTTCATTTTAGTTTAGGGTTTATTCACGGAATCGTAAGTTCTCATATCCACCTTAAACCCATAGGAGAATGGAGAAATGCTTCCTCCCTGTATGGGGGACAAATATGGTTTTCCTATATTTTATTTCCCAGTTGGAAAATAGATACTAAATTGAACTATAACAAAACTAGGAATAATAATTGGTAGACACTAGACAGAGATGGTGATCTTTCCAAACATGAAAGATGAGCAGCTTATAGTAACTGGGTTTGAAAATAACTCTGCTAACACAAAAGAACAAATAACTTGACTGATTTGATTTTTGCAAGATCAGTGTATCCAAGTCAGCACTGAAATTCTTTACACACTTTTGGAGGCTCCAACAACTGTGTCCTTAGCTTTGCTATCTTTGCTTTCAGCTGACCCAGATGATATTCTGCACACAAAGTACATATAATTTTGCATATAGCAATGAAAGAATTGAAGTGACACAGGCAGGAAAATTCTAGTTCAAAAACTAAAAACTAACCCGTGGCTTTATTCTTTTGGGTGCGTGCCATTTCGGCTTCAATTTCTTTGATCCTCTCTATGATACCCATTGCTCCTTAACTCAACTGCCACACCAACACGAAAGTTATTCCCGTAATAGTGAAGCTTTGGAGTGAACAAATCAACAAATATAATATACCCAACCCACTATCCAAGCTATGTAGGGAAAAAAATAAAAATTGTGAGAGAAACACAAGCTTTTTGAAGGAGAAAAATCTTCTTAGCAAATTCCAACAGATTATTATTCACAAAAACAACTAATACTCCGTAATCAGTATTTAAAAACTCAACAATCCTAAAGAAAAAAGCTAAACTGTTCTTCTTGATCTACACAGTGAGCATATAGCTGAGCATGCTGATGCTAAAATCAGGACCGTTCATTCAATCGTTGTCGTAAAATAAGAACAAAAAAAAATAGAATAAAAAATATCAACCAGTTCTGGAATCCTTATTTCATTCAATCAAATAAATACCCAGCACACACAAAGATTGATACTCCGTGTTTTTTCCGAGAATCGTAGAAATTGAAGAGAAAACCTTGCTTTAGTTTAGTTCCGCGTCGGGAGTGGGCTTGCGGCGGCGGGGGGTATGGACGCTGACGGCTACGGAGGTTTGACGGGGAAGGATAGCGGAGATCTGTGCGTGACGTTTTTTGTAATTTTTTTTTTTCTGAAAATGTTTTTTTTCCTTCTAACTGTGCAGGGGTAAGCTTTCCTCTCGTATATTTGACTTTTCGAATTAATTACCGTCTCGCCAATGTCAAATTAATTTCTAGGGATTACTATTTTCTCTAACTATTTATTCAGTTTTGATTTTTTATATTCAATATTGTCTAGTCTTTGATTTTATGATAAAATAAAAACTTATGAAAAATATTAGACATGTTTAGAAAATAGTTTTTCAGATAGCTTTTGGGACTGTTTGGGAATAGCGTTAGCGTTTTAAAAAAGCTATCTACAGGCAACGTTTTCAAATTAATCTGCACCGTAAAAATTTTATCCAAATCTCTAACGCTATTCCCAAACAGGCCCTTTGTCATCTTTGACTGACTTTGACTTTTTTTAACTCAGCGAACAGCCAAAATCATTGTTTGGCTAATAACTTTTTCACTTGACATTTTGATCTCAAAAGCCGTAGCATTTGGACTTGGTTGTTACATAGTATTCTTATTTTAATTATTAGTATTATTATAATTATTATTATAATCATAATAGGTAAAAAATAAATAATATTGAACCCAGTATACATGTCAAATAATTGACACTGAGATACTATCATTATAATTTTTTAGTTTAAAATATTGCTTTTTTTCTCATGTCAATTTAGACTAATAAAATATCCATAGTTTTAGATACATAGTTTAGTGTCATGTAAATTAAAAAAACAATTTTCCAAATGAAATTGTACTCATTATTATTTATATTAAAAATGAAAAAAAAATAAGTGTGAATCACAAAATAGTGACATAGAAAAAATAAAAATAAAAAAATTAAACTAATGTATAAGCTATAGTGATAATTATAATAATAAATACATGAAAAGCATTTTATTTTTAGAGTCATTATTTAGCAGTAAAAAATATTGAGAAAAAAGGAATAGTTAAAAATTGGAAGAAACTAAAAAAAGTTGGAAAAACTGAAAAAAAAAGAAGAAAATAAAAAAAACTAAAAAGAACTGTAAGAAAATGATAGAAATACAAAAAACTGGAAGAAATAAGAACTTAAGGGTTTAAGCTCTAAAGAAAACTCTCTAACACGTTAAGCTTGTATGCACGTGTATAATGCTTGTATACTACTTTCAACCACAAATTTTTATTTTCTTGTAACTTTATAACTAGTCAAACTAAAATCCTATTTTGGGACGAAGGGAGTATATGCATGTTACTTATATATTGATATATTTCTTTCGTCTAATATCTTTCTTTCAAATTGCTATTATGACATCTCGATAAATTATATTTGCATGGATGTCTTCATTGATCATTTGGTGAAATTCAATATTTTTTATGGTTTATAAGTCATCTTTTTAATATAGAAAAATGTCATCAATTGACTTATCCATACTTTATTTAAAAAGACATGAGATCAATACTGCGTTTTCCCGCTCAAAGAGTATGACCATTACATATCGTAATGTGAAGTTAAAATGGTAAGTGTTCGAAATTATAGTAATATAAAATTTACGTTTTATAAGTATAATAATTATATTATATTTATAATAATTAACTATGATTTTTAAAGTGTCCGAAATTTATACTAGCAAGAAAGGTAAGTTATAAAAAATATTTATACAATAGGCAAAAATTATTTATAAAAAATATTTATAAACTTTAATAAACTCCAATCAATGCTATTAAAAACGTGTGTATGATTATTCTTACCATAATTATATAATTATATGATTACCGTGTGACTAGGTTATATAAAAACGTATGTATGATTATATAATATAATATAATTATGGTAAGAATAATTATACACACAGTTTCGAAAAAAATTAATACGGTAAAATTAATTATAGTAATTTTAATGACAGTAATTTTATTGAAAAATGAATAATTTTTTTAACCATGTATGCAAAAATCATATTATAAATACATTCATTTACAAAGTTTTCATAGTCGTTACATTCATCGTGAATTTTTCTCCTACGTTTCGAAACTATCATTCCTACGAAAAATGGGAATCTTAACTGTTTTGAAAAATGTTGATGAGCGGTCATCAATGTTAATGATGAAGCTACGAACAATTAGGTTTTATCACAGGTTTCCGTAACAATAATCCAACATGTTTTAGTCATGAACAACTTTATGTTGCAGTTTCAAGAGTAACTAATCGTAGTGGATTGAAAATTCTGACATGCAATGAAGACAATATTCCCATAAATTGTATATATAATGTAGTCTGTTAAAAAGTCTTTTGAAATTTGTAAAGCAGTGATGCTTTGTACCTTAAAATAATATAATCTCTATATTCTATTGCATCTCATTTTTTATCATTGAAAAATGATTTGAATTTAATAACATAAAAATGACCTGTGCAACGTATGAGCTGAGTATGATACTAGTATGTTAAAACAACTTATAAACAGTTGTGAGGAGCTTATAAGTACAAAAAAGCAATTATAAATATACAATCTTGTTTGTGACAATAATTTAGATTATACACCTTTTAATAGTACAGGTTGATTTTTTAAAACACTAAAACTAAACACTATCTTTAAACAACACTTTTAAAATGACAAAAGGAGTCCGGAGTAATTATTAACAAGAGCAATGCTAGGAGTACACCAAAAGATGTACCCCATTTGTCCTCCACCCCTTTATCCACCATTCAATTTTATTTTATTTTTATTTATTTAATTTTGTTTTAGTTTCTTGCCTTTTTGTGTGGTGATGGAAGGGGTGGGGGACAAATGGGGTACACCTTTGGTGTACCCCTAACATTTTTCTATTAACAAATGTGTACAACAAACTTCTTTTTGTGTGACGTGCATATTTCAAATTTGGTGTGATGTACAAACTCATTTTTGACCAAATAATATAAGTATCGAGCCTTTTGCAATAATGAATGGATCCAACTCTCACGCCTAGTTTTTTAGATTAAAGTTTAAGAGTTGAATGCTACAAGAAAGTGAAATAAGTCAAAAAAAATTGTACGGAGTTAGAAAATGTATATAGAATTTAAATGTTACAAAACCACTTAATTATACGATCATTCAAATGAATATGTAAGAAAACTCTAATTTTGAATATAAAAAATTCATCATTCACTGTGTTTAAGGTGATATGTTATAAATTTAGATATATAATACTATTATATATTCATCAAATGAAAATACCTTTTGAAGTCGTGAAAGAAATTGGAAAGAATTCGAAACAATCGAGAGGAGTTGAAAAAAAGGAAATAAATTAAAAAAAGTTGAAAGTTAAATTCAAAAGAACATGGCCTCTATCTATGAAAATTACAAAAGCCTGACTCTATTAATGAAGCCTTGGCATTTATTCACAGTTGCCAATTTTGATATAAAAATACCCTCCATCATTAAATTAAATTCGGGTTTATTTCCCAAAATTTAAAAAAGTAATTGAAGAGTAAAAAAAACTATTTGCATAAGAATTGTCCAGATGAGAGACACATAATGCAAGTCACTTATTCCTTTAAAAAAGGAAGGATATGATTTGGTTACAAACAGAAAAAAAAAAGAGAATTTTATCTAAAGACACGGAATATTAATACTACACGTAAAAAATAGGAAACAAATAGTCTTCCAAAATTATTTTTTGGAAAGTAAACCATAAACTTAAGTTTTTAACTTACCAAATTTTTTTCTTCCCTTTTTTACGTCAAATTGATAAACATGAAGGCCTTCGAGTGTTTCTAAATCTACGCATATAATTACTAGCACGCATGGGATTAGGATATAATTAGTTATATATATAACTAATAATATTAGTTGTATGTATAACTAATTAAGGCTGGATTAAATTTATGGCCGTGAAGAAGAGAGACAATAATAACGATGATGGCTTCTTCCAATTTCCTGATGATACAATACTGGAAATTCTCAAACGAGTTCCTGCAAAGAGTCTAATGAGGTTCAAGTCTGCATGCAGGGGCTGGCGAGACACGATCGCCGACCCTTTCTTCGTCGAATCTCAACGAAGCCATGCCCGGAGCCAACCCGGCGGGACCCACCTCGTGTTTTACAACACGCAGTTATTCTACATCTTGTTGGCCTACATCGAGAACTGCGGCTCGAAGCTCCGTGTCGTCACACTCTCCGCCAGAAACATGAACCTTGATGTCATCACAACCACTTCTCCTCCTCCGCGAGACGGCCCTCATAATAAACCTCTCAGCCACTCAAATGTTGTCTGCGGTCTCGTATGTATCTATATACACGATTTCATTTCTACTCCCGAAGGAGAAGAACCCACCCTTTGGTTGTTGAACCTCACCACCATGGAAAAGAAAGCCCTTCCGACGCCAAGGTCGGACGACACGCGTCATGAGAACGCAAGGTGCACATATTTTCTGGGGCTCGATTCGTTGACAAAACATCACAAAATCCTTCACTATCACGAAAGCGAGTGCCATGTCTTGACGGTGGGAGACAAGAAATGGAGTCGAGTCTTGGGTCCAATCCCTCAACAACTCCAAGTGGTCGAGGCGGTGTCTATGGAGGGAAGAATCTGTTTCAAAAGTGGAAACATAGACCTTCGGGCCCTCACATTCTTTGATTTGAATGAGGGTAAATTCCGACATATTTCCTACCCACAAGATTATCTTCCTCGGCAGATTGCTACAGGTTGGCTTCGCATCCCTTACTTTTTACAAGAGATTTTCGAGCTTGGAGGAAAGTTGGGTATAGTGGACGGCCTGAGGGTTTGGGTATTGGAAGACGACAATGGCAGTTGGGTTGAGAAAAAAATAACCCTTCCCAAGGACGTTTATAACGGAGAGTTGGTTGGTGTTAAGGGAAAAAATGAGATCATCGTCAAGTCTTCTCAAGGGAGAGATGTGATCCCAAGGTATTACATTTATGATTTCGACACGGGTGGGTGTAAAGAAGAACCCGAGATTTCTCTCCACGACTTGAGCTTCAAGAAATATTTATCTCAATCAAATATCTCCTCAAGATATTGTAGCACTACACTCCTCAGCTATATTGAAAATATCACTCCATTGTAAGAAGAAACTAGTCTGTTATGAAGTTGAACCTATATGTAATATCATGCCAATCACTAATACTGTTTGCACACCCAATAGATCTCTAAACACATAGGCACATATACTATATGATGGAGCAATGATGTAAACAGTAGTACTCGTGATATTTATCCAAAATATGTAGTACGTAGTACCTATTTTTTTCAGATAGAAGTTCAGAATGTTACATGCATCCAACTTTTTCTGCATCGACAATTCTACCTCCTCTGCACTTGCTTTGGTTTTGACGAGGTGAAATATGGCCATTCATTTCAGCAAGCTCCCGCACACGTAAAAGAATTGGAGCCGGGATCATAATAGTTGCGTGTTTCCTAGAAGCATTATTCTGCGTCTGTATAAACAGTGTGCAAACCAAAAAATCAAAATTAAAATCCATACATGAAGGACCAGAGGGAGTGTTATGATTGCGATTATTACTCTGTATATCATTATAATATTATGATTATCTTTATCGTCATCATCAAGCAATAAATCAAGGAACTCTCACCCCATTTTCTCCAGGCAACTGTACAAAACTAGCTTTCAATAAGTTTCTCCATTTGTCCTGTTATGGAATGAAATGTTTCAGTGAGAGAATAAAGCCAAAATCGGTCTGATGATACTCAGATTTCAAATGTACCTTAAGGTCAACTGGAGTCCGATAGGGTGCATTTGAAAAAGCAAGCTTTTTAATCTCAGACCATCTACCTACGCCAAACTTAGAAACACCGTCAACTAATTCGCTGACCTCATCGAGAGTCCAAGGCCGGTGGTGTTTTCTTCTCATTCCAACAGCTGGTGCAGCCATCTCTGTCATCATATTATCATCTGAGTGATCATCCTCATGTGTGTCTTTGTTTTCATGCTTTGAAACAATCTCCTCTTCTATTATTTTCCTTTCAGCGAAGTGCTCACCCTTCTCAGAAGTAGAACTAGTAACCTAGAAGACAAAAAAAGGCCCAATATCATTAGTGTTGCATCGTCATTACTTTTTAAAAAAGAATAATGAGAAAATGCAATCAAATCAAAATGTATTGTTACAGTTAATAAACATTTTCCAAGGAACATGCTTTGTAGACCAACCTAAAAATGTTAATTCTCCAAATGTGAAATTCAAGAATCATGATACATTTCAATCTAATATTGTTTATCCCAGTTAAAATTTCAGTCTTTACTTTCACCAATTTAATTAGTAATAGATTAATAGTATAGGAGATGGAGTGATAACTATATTGTTTTATCAAGAAAAGTAACAGTAAAAATGAAAAATATTAACACTATGTTTGGTTCAAAGAATTTGAAAGGGAAAAGAAAAGCAATGAGATGGGATGGAAAACATTTTTTCTTGATTGGTTAGAGAGGAAAAGAAAAGAAAATAAAACTGAAAGAAAGAAGAAATAAGAAGGAAACATGAACTAAAAGGAGGGAAACAATATTCCTCCCATTTTAGTGAGGAAATTGAGAGAATCCAATTTTCTTATCTTTTCCTTCCTAATTCATTGAACCAAACATAGTGTAAAGGTCGTTGACTCTTTCCAGGAAGGAAATATGGTTTCAAGACCTTATCTGTTTTATCAATTTCTGGGTTGCTAGCATTAAGCGGTTCCTTCACCAGTTCGGGTTCCATGCTTGTGCCATTGGGCTGATCGTTCTACAGCACAAACGAAAAAACATTAGAGAATAACTCAACATGCTAAAGAACATACCCTCACAACATCGCTTGAGATTATCCTTACCAAAAGAGTCATGTAATTTTCCCTAGGACGTCCTCTCCGAATCCGAGAAACGCAAGGAATTTGAACCCCAGAACCTCCAACCAAATCTTTCCTCATCACAAGAGGTTCTCCATCTGGTCGGGCTTTTAAAATAGATATCACAAGATTATGTGGATGTGTTGATTCATAAGCACAACTTTTCTCTGAAGGCATTGACTTCCCACTAGATTCCCTTAATTCAACTTCTGAAATTTCTTCAATGTAGCGTTTTGTAGGTTTACGAACTCTTTTCGCTGCTCTTTCTTCAGAGTTAAGTTCCTCTCTAACATTACAACCTTCGAATGGTGATTTGGGAATATTCCCTTCAGTAGTATTACCTGGAACCTCTGCTTTTTCTTCATGGCCTGCAGAGTTAGTATTAGCCAATGCAACTATAAGATCCTCTCCGATTAAATTTCTGACATCCGCAATGCTTTCTTCTTTAACTTTCTTCACGACTCCATTGTCCTCAATCACAAAATGGGTACATGAAAAATCACAAGAATTTGACAACCCCATGGAAATCCTCCTCATAAGCCACGACTTGTCCTTAACTGAAGTTGCTCGTCCAAAGGTAGCTTTAAAAGTTTCCTGAAGTTCTTTTACTGTCAAATTCTCCAAATGTATTTCCCCCTTTAACTTTGAAAAATCGGGCATCGAGCTAGCCCCAGATGTGGAAGCTGACATATTATTTGCACTTGCATCTGAGGAGTTTGAACATCCATCAGTACGATCGAAGTTATCAATATGGATATATTCTGAGGTTAATGGATGGGCAGTTGCCTGCAAATCAATTCTAAATTGGAGCTGCTATCACGAGAAAGAATAAATTAAATAATACTGGTGTTACAATGAAAACAACACAAACTGTTCTGGACAAAAGGCTAGCTGTCTTAATGCATAGTACACTAGCTCATGAAACCCCCCCACAGAAAAAAATACTACCTCCACCCCAAATTAATGTTGATTTATTTCTAAAAAATTGTATCAAAATAATTTATAATTGTTGCTTTAGGAATTCAATACCTATTTTCTCACTGCAACAACCGAGTACAGCACCAAATGTGAGGACAGTGGGGTCTGCGGGGGGTGGAGGTATGCAGAAATTGCCCGTATTAACTCTAGTCTCTAATGGCATTAAAGGCTTTTGGACTTTGAAAATGAACAAAATGCATTACATTTTACGCTTAAATAACAATGTCAGTGTAATTTCATTAGTTTCCATAGCAATAAGTGCACTTTTATGAATAGTCAATTATATTGGGAGAGAGGGAGTAGTAAATAAAATATATTCCTCCCATCCTAAAAAAATTCCTTTATTGTTTACAATGTTGGACTGAAATTAATTTCAATCCAATTTAAGTACTAATTTGTATAAATAAAAAAAGAAATCTATATATTTAAAAACTACATCACAAGTTCTAAAAACAAAGAGGTGACATTACTATATTATTTTATCAAATGAGTAACAAAAATAAGCAAATAAGGATGATAAGTTTGACTATGTAAATAGTACTCCGTAATTGTGAAGTATTTTTTGGGCCAGAGGGAGTAGAAAGTACACATTGGGAGATTACAAAATACATACATCTCCTTGAGTATTTAGTTTGTCTGAATCAGGCAACATTTGGTGTGACAAATTGTCTGTTACGACAGCTTCGTGTTTTTCAGACGCCGAATGTCCTGGCCCCCAAGGAAATATAACTCAGTTGCAGATAAGGTAGAATTCCCACATGTCATGACTAGCCATAGTTCAATTTAACAAAATAATGCAATAAAAAATGGAGGCATTGTGACCTTGGGGTTCATCAAGCTGCATTTTTTTGGAAGAGCATAATTCAGTTCCATTGTACTCCATAGTCTGCTCAGAATCTGTGACACGACCGAATTCATGCTTCTCATCTCCAAGTAACTCTTCAACTGTCATCAATTCATCATCTGTTGCAGGCACTAACCGACCATCCCCATCAACCTACAGATTTCATATAGCGTAGAGTCATTTCCACAAACCATAAATCAATAAACGCCAGGTTACGCCACATCAAACAAATCCCATACTTCAGGGTTGGATGAAATGCATCGAATTATTATCAAAATATACTGAAAAAAGTATATGCTTTATATCCTAAAAGTGAAGTTTTTGGCTCTTTACAAGAAGTACTTTTTAACCTTCCCAAACTTTCAAATTCGCACAAAAATATGTCATGCCATATTGCCATCTACAAATGAATATCTTGACAATATAAAAATTCCACAAACACGCCACATGCACGGGTGACGAACACAGGTAATCGAGCCAAAAAATGCATCACATAGAAAAAAGAAATCTTTTTTTCTAAAAAAAGGTAAGGCAACATCCCACCAGCAGAGTTAACCATTCGAACAAAAAACGTTAACTTGTTTAACATTTAGCATATCATATGATAAAATTAATGAATCTATTTGAGCTTAATAATGCATATATACCCGAACAAGCTGGTAGAGAATGGGTTCAGCAGTTTCCTCTAGCAAAAACTCCCACCACCCTCAACTCTATCTTCACCATTTCTCTCCACTCCGGCATTTGACCCCATAGCCAATCCAACGCAAACCGCTGAAATGCACAAAACATCATCACTTCATGCTCCAATTCGTATATCCAATTCTAAACCGCAATCAACACACAATTACGAGCAGAAATTTACACAATCTTCAAAATTGAGCAGAAACAACAATCATAATTACTCCGTAACGCGAAATCAAACTGAACGCAAAGCTTCAATCACAATTCAACGAGACTATCATCTGTTTCGACGCTGTTGATGTTAGAATTGCTTGGCAGCTGTTTCTCGAAGAAGAGATTCTCGGTAAAAATGAAATTTTGATGATTTCGTTTTTTGAATTTTTGTTTTTATGAACGATTTACTGATGAATTCAGGGGTAAATTTTCGTTTTTTTTACCCGATGAACGATTGGAATTTGGTTTCCCAGTTCTACACTGCGCAGTCCGGGCCTACCGTAAAGATGACGGATTCGAAAGGTTTATGAATTTGGGAGTGAGAGCGCGTGGAGTCCGCTGGTTCTGGACTTCGGGTTATTAGGAAAGGTTTTTCTGGAACTAGGCCGGCTTGTTTGGGGCTTTGGGCCTGTAAATGGTTTAAGCTCGTTTCAAAACTTCTTTAATTGGATGAGATTGGGTTCGATTTTTTATAAGACTGGTATTTTGACGTGTGCATGACACGGGATCGAACGAAATTTATGTCGATTCTGGATTATTTTAATGAAATTTATTTTTGGAATAAAGAAAATATATTGTTCACATGATTTTTAATACTACAGATGAAAAATGCCAAAGTAAAATAAATAATATTCGAGGAACTGAATGTAGACTTAACAATGTTTATTTTAATACCAAATTTTCTAAAAGACTTCAGGGTATAGAACATTTTTGGTATGGTTGCAAGGGTTTCCATTGTCATCTAGAATCAATATCTTTAATCTTGTCTTTGTCTTCACTCGTGAAACAGCAACATAAAATTGACCATGTGTGAATACCGACTTGATTAAAAATAATCCCACAAATGATAATATTTGACCTTGACTTTTGTTGATAGTCATAGCAAAACATAAGGCGATTGAAAATTGTCTTCTTCTTTGGAACTTCAAGGGTAGTCCTGGGTCAGATAGTACCAAATTCATTCTAGAGATGTAAACTTTTTCTCCGACTCGATTTCTCGAAACCACAATTACATCGTTAACATTATTTCGCAGCTCTTGAAAGATTAATCTTGTCCCATTACACAATCCAAATGTTTGATCAATGTTCTTCAATAGCATAATCGGCACCCCTTTTTCAAAACTATTTTGTTTGGAATTACCGAACATTTGATTTCATCACTAACTCCATCCATCACATGACCTAGCTTCCCATTACCCATTTTGATTATCCGATCAGAAAAAGCTTGTGTGTCCCTATCTGCGCAAGAAGACGTGGATGAATGCAGTCTCATATTCCTGGTCAACGTATAAACTTTACAGTACGACACAGATGTGAGGAATTGATCGTAGCACCTACAATTTCCTCTCTCGAAGCTCTGGGTAAAACTAGAAGGATCTGCCGAAAGTCACATCCGAGTATAACTATTTTTCGTCCAAATTGTTCATTTCTGTAGTTACTATTAGAGAACCCCATGATATTTCTCATTGTGCGATCCAATGCCTCAAAAGCAGATCTATTCATCATGTATGCTTCATCTCATATGATCAGACTTGCTTGTTGGATCAATTCAGCTTTTGGGCTCCCTTGTTTGATGGCACACATTGAGCACTCAGTTAGCGCCAATGGGATTGATAATCTAGAGTGTGTAGTCCTTCCACCAGGTAATAACAATGTTACAATGCCACTAGATGCAACGTTTAGAACAACCTTAGCGGATAATGATTTCCAGGTGAAGGTCTTTCTGGTTCCCCCTTAACCATACACAAAAAAAACCTCCTCTTTCAGCTGTCACAACTTCCATTATCCCATCTTATATCTTCTTCTGGTCTTCGTTTATGATAGATAAATATTGTCTAAGATCAAATGACAATTTTTCTCTATCAGAGTTCAATTTCTCTACAAAGAAGTTATTTTGAAATCTATCGAGTGAGTTGTCATCTAGAAATGGCATACCACCAAACTCTTTTAAGGATCGTCCGTTTGAATTAAGTAACTTTTCAATATCAATCAAACATAAATTCTTTTGATCTTTTGGAAAGATAAAAAGTTCTGCAAAAAAAGTTAATAATAGGCTAAATTATTTCAAATATCAGAATTGGAATTTAAGTAAGCAATTACAATTCCATTGTTTCAATTCCATATACCAAACAGGGCCTCAATAGAAATTAACTAAACTTTCCAATCTAAGGTCGTGTGTTTTAGGAGATGAGGTAGGGTTAATCACCATCCATCACGCCCCTCGTCCATTACATATGCATCGTGGAGGAGTGTTATCCCAATTAAGGTGACCACCATCTCGTAATAATGACTTGCCCCTTTCAATTATTATTGTATTTTTATATTTGAATCCATCAAAATCTAATATCCGAATATATATTTATATCTCATCACTTCTACTCCCACTCCCCATGATAACAAATATTTTTTTTGCCTCTCATCACTTCTTTACACACCATCAAATCCTATCAAATATATATAAAGTATAGTCAAGAGTTGAAATCAGTCAATTTTGTACCAACATTTTAATAGTTCATATTTACATGAAATATTTTGATGTATAAGTCTAACAAAAAGAAAACTTTGGTGTTCTCATCTACATGGCATAGTAGTCTGCAATCAAAATATAATAATCCTTTTGAGATCTCACGAGTTTTCAAAAGCAACATTACTAAAAACTTTATCCTACACCTATTGCCTCACCCTCCTTGGAAGGTCAAATGGCATCTATAGCTGGTGATACAGACATCGAGTCTAATATATATATATATATATATATATATATATATATATATATATATATATATATATAAAATGTTTTTTGGTATTCATTTCTCTTTTGAAATTTGTATGTAAGCTTTTTTAGGAGTGACAACTTCAAGGTTTAAATCCTAATTGGATGTATATTTGGAAGAACTCAAGGTGGATCCTAATGAAAATTTAGATATTCATGAATGGTGGAAGGACAATGCTAAAAAATTTCATGATGTTGCAAAAATGGCAAAAGATATATTAAGCATACCAATCACCACAGTTGCATCTGAATCTGCTTTCAATTTAGGTGGTAGAATTTTAACAAAGTGGGGAGCATGACTTAAGCCAGAGAACGCAAAAGCTTTGATTACCTCTCGTAGTAGGATATTTGGCTATGATATTGATGAACGTAATTTAATATATAGGCCCCAATTATTTTACACTTACAAATTAACTCTTCATATATGTGTTATTGTATTAATATGTAGATGAACGTGACAAACTTTAAAAAGGGGAATGACTTCACTTAAAAATGAACTTTTAATCATTCTGTTTGAACTCCAAATCATTTGGTATTTTTGATTAGTGTGCTTAGAAGGTTCATTTGAGACATGATGATGTTCAGATTTTTTTCCTATGTTTACTTTTTAGTTGTTGTTTTGAATGATTTTGTTTCTCTGTTTTAAAAAATGCATTGATCACTTGATCTCTAAATAGAAAATTTACAATTTTTAAATACACCTCTTAACCTGTTAGGTTAACCCGAATCCGATAATTCTGAATCAGGAACAAACATCCTTACCCAAATCCAATGTGACCCAAACCCAATGTGACCAAATACAAACCCAACCGGACAGACCATTTTGTTAGTTCTAATTTTTATATAAAACTATACTTTTTTTAAATATTTTTGAATGGTGGAAATGCATGTTAATTTTTTAAAAATCTCCCTATATTAGACCAAAACATAGGAAAAAATATGAAAATAAGACTTTCGTTTTTTTTCCAAAATAAGACTTCACATTGTAGTACTGTACATATGTACATTACTATAATTTTTAGTAATGTACATGACCAAGTTTGAAAATGTAAATGCATTTTAAGTTAATCTTTCAAGAATAAAACACTAAAATCTTATTTTGGGGTATTGTATTGTTTGATTTAAAAACAAAATGGTACCAAACAATTATGAGTTCATATCATACCTGAAGTAGTCACTCACAATAACATCCAACGACAGTTCCAATTCCAAAACCACCAATTCAGAACTATGTAAGACCCGAAGAAATTGAAATTGAGAAACCGAAGAAATGTGTTTGGTATTGTGAGATATGAATGTGTGAGAACTATGTAAGACCCGAAGAAATTGAGAGATTCAGAGGGCCCAATGGATCTCCAGTAAGAGCTTTGGTATTAGCACTGGTTTGAAGCATCCTCTGAATCCCCCACTGATTGGGTCGAGGAGTTTTAGTTTAAAAACCGTGCAAAATAATTGAAGAATACGATAGAATTAATGGAGTTTTAACCATCAAACCTCCTTTAAGAGGAGCCATTTGCGCCGGAGTTGGAGGAGGAGCCGTCGGCGGCGCGGCTGAGGTTGAAAGATGAGAAAGATTATGATGTTATATAGGCAGACAGAGAATAAGGGATGTGCAGCTAGGGTTTAGGCCCGGCTCGGACCTCTTAAATGGACCGATCCTTGCCACCTCGGCCCATTTCTGTCCAGCCCAAAGAAATGAGAAGATTGGACATTAGGGCGGGTATCATACGGAATGGACTAGATTCGGGTTAAAAGTGTTTCAGATACTCCCTTTGTTCGGATTTGACTTTACACGCAAATTAAAGAAAAATAAAAATTGTTTTGACATTTCGTGTTTGCCCTTAGGTCACTGTAAAAAGTAAAATAAAATATAGGTATGGATAGTAATTAATGAGTAATGTAAGGGTAATGATGTGGTTTAAAGAAAGAGTATTTGCCAAAAAGAAATGGAAAGATAATTTATGAACAGACAAATAAGGAAAGTGAGAAGATAAATTATGAACGTAGGAAGTATTTAAGAGAGACATCAAAAGTTTTACAAAAAGTGGCAAGAATATTTTATTTTATTAAAAAATCAATGAAAAGATACAAATAAACAAAAGATTTCGATATGTTTGAAAAGTAAAACGTGTAAATCATTTAGAAATGGGGGAAAAAAGTAGGAAAAAAATTCTCTAAAAAGAAAACAAAGAGATAAAAAAGTTACAAAAAAGGAAGAAAACAATGTAATAAACGAAAAATAAGAAATGGGGATATGTGCCCCCTATGGTTTAAAAATACACAGAAATACTCCCATATTCGCCGGAAAATGGCCGGATAATGATTGGAGAGAGTGTGGTGTAACATTTTCAAACCATATGAACTTCAGAAATTAGTTCCGAAAATTGAGAGAGTATTAGTGTCAATTTTCCAAACCACAAGGGTCACTATAGCTGTTTGGCCAATGTTTAACACAACAAAACTTAAAAAAACAATAATTGGTATAGGTTTAGA